AGGAACTGAGGCGGATGGATCGTCGCCCTCAGGAGAACGTGGGGTGAGCCCGATGTGCACATCCGAGTAAAAGCTAGTAAATGTCCTCCGAAGCTGAGCAAAGTTCTCCGCCTGGGATGCCTGCTGCTGTCCGATTTCGGACATCCTCTGCAGGATGGTATCCTGCTGCTCCAGGATCCTCCTGGCCCATTCAGGGGTCAGATCTGCCTGGGTCGTAGCTGGGGTGGCCTGAGGAGTGGGTCGGCGGCGAGTGGCTCTCCTAGATGAGACCTGCGAGGATGCTCCTGAGGTCGAGGGCACAGATGAGGAGGCGGCGTTGCTCTCGGTAGAACCAGCTCCCAACCTTCGACGGATGTGGGCGTTCCTCAGCATGCCGGCATCCAAATCTCGCATCATCATCTGAGCCCGTGGAATAGGTGCCGACCCTTCGAGGGATCGGAAGAGTATGGTGACCACGAAACCGCAAACAATGTGCGTCCGATTCCCCATGGACTGACTGTAGAGGAATCGGGCTACAAAGACAGCCACATTCACCTCCCGGCGTGTGTGCAGGCTCCAGAAGACAATCAAATCGTCGGGGTATACCCGGTCTATGTTCAACGGCCTCCCAAAGAAAGATGTCGAAAGCACGAAGGATAGGATTCGCCAAGTCGGCTGAATCCAAAACCTGGCTCGGCCCATGCCCTCGAAACGGTCTGGATCGGAAGAGTGTTCCGCCCAGAAGTCAGCTGGATCAATGTCTGTGGGGAGAAGGTATGGTGCGGTATCAAACTCCGGTGCCGATGTTTCCTCCTAACTGTAGAGACCCATGTGTGTAGCCAGATCGGCGACCGTCAGCTGAAATTCTCGCCCCAAGAGAGTGAAAGTGAGGGTTGTACGAGAGTCGATGGACTGGAAGTTCATCGACCTCGACCCTATAGATGGCTCCAACTCTAGAGAGCACAGGAACTCAATTGTTAGTGGCAGGCTAGACTCGGCCCGCATCATGAAGAGGCGATGCCACCTAGTCCCATGTAGCAGCTTCTCCATCTCTTCAGCGTATCCATATTCGGTGAGAACTGCCGAGGATAAGTACACAGATTCCGTCAATGAGCGGTGACGACCCCACATCTCAAAGCGCTGGATGGGTCCAGAACCCACTAGGTGAACATCGGCACGCGTGGCAGTCGGGTATGCTGGTCTGTGAGGCATCTGCACATGAAACACACATATAAAATCTTGCCCCCACGCAAGTGTGACAAGTCTCCATTCATTTATTCAAAAGAAAGGAACAACAGAAAATAATAACTAAATAAGGTAGAAATAACGGGTTGCCTCCCGTTCAGCGCTTCTTTAACGTCACTAGCTTGACGCGATTGCTTCACTTGTGGAGTTTAATCTCCACTTTCCCTTTTTGAAACTGCTCACCGAAATACCTCTTGATCTGTTGACCGTTGACCTTGAACGTTCCAGATTCCCCTCTCAACTCCACGGTTCCATACGGGAAAACTCTGGTGATTGTGTAAGGCCCTGTCCATCGGGAGCGAAGCTTTCCTGGGAACAATCTCAAACGAGAATTATAAAGCAACACTTTTTCACCTTCGCGAAAGACCCTATTCTTCTTAATATGAGCGTCGTGATATAACTTCATCCTCTCCTTGTATAGCTTAGCATTGTGGAATGCTAATGCTCGCCATTCGTCTAGCTCATCTAGCTGGTAAAATCTTTCACGCCCGGCTTCAGAAGAATCAAGGCAAACATTTCGTAATGCCCATAATGCCTTATGCTCAATTTGCACTGGAAGGTGACATGACTTTCCGTACACCAAGTGAAAGGGAGTTGTACCAATTGGTGCTTTATATGCCGTGCGAAATGCCCAGAGAGCGTCATCTAGTTTCTCGCTCCAATCCTTCCTCGTTTTGGCAACAGTCTTCTCCAAGATTCTCTTTAAATCCCTGTTTGCATTCTCCACTTGCCCTTGAGTCTGCGGATGGTACGCCACTCCTCCTCTATGCTGAACTCCATAGAGTTCCAATGCCTTAGATAGTGGATCATTTCCGAAGTGGGTACCTCTGTCACTTATTATCAATCTCGGAACTCCGAATCTTGAAAACAGTTTCTTCAAGAAGCGAACTACAGTGCGACCATCGTCTCTTTTGCAAGCTTGGGCTTCAACCCATTTGGAGACGTAGTCGATAGCAACGAGGATGTATTTATTACCATAAGAACTCGGGAATGGCCCCACAAAGTCGATCCCCCATACATCGAACACTTCACATGGCAGCATGTAATGTTGTGGCATCTCATCTCTCTTGGATATATTGCCCGTTCTTTGACAGCGGTCGCAGGAAGCAGCAAACTGATTAGCATCCCTAAAAAGCGTTGGCCAAAAGAATCCTGAGTCCAACACCTTTCTTGCTGTCCTTGCTCCTGAGAAGTGTCCACCAACTGGGCCACTATGGCAGGCTGCCAAAATCTCCT